TGCAGAAAGTTTTGGGGACCAGCAGGTGGTAAGGCGGTTAAGATGGATGAATCCCACCTGGCCAGCCGCATAGTTCAAGTTTGAGTGCCAGTCCTGGATTCAGCAGCCTTGAGTGTGTCTGCCCAAAGTCCTCAGAGGAGAGTGGAGGAAAAGGGATTACAGGGTGGCCATCCTCCCCACTCCCTGCAGGGGAATGAGTTCTCTCTCTCTTTCTCTCTCTCTGTCCCTCCCTGGCAAGTGCATATGACCTGTAACAAATTTAAAGGAAAGAAAGAAAAAGTTCTCTTGAACAATGCTGTAAGCCTATATTTCCTGTGAACCGGAAGTAGGTTTACAGGCTTGATTGAATTTGGGTTAAGCATTTTACAAAGGATCTGTAATAGTGACATTACACTTCACATTATGTCACTCGCCATATCGAATCAGAGTGTCTCGCTGTTCATTATGCTGACTGAGTTCGATGACTTGGTTAAGGTGGAAACTGCCAGATACCATCTAGTGGTATCCTTCTAGCTATAAAAGTACATTTCCTTGGGGATCAGCAGGTGGCGTGGTGGTTAAGGTGCTGGACACTCCCACATGGCCTACCAGGGTTCGAGTCCTGAATCTGGTGGCTTGCTTTCTCACTTCCTCTCTCTTGCACTCTCACCCTCTGTCTCTCTCTGGTCAAATTAAAAAATGAATGAATAAATAAAAAAATAAAAAATAATTATTTGAAAAAAAAGTACATTTCCTTTTGCAGTTAGTAGCATTTGGAAATGAACTTCACAAACCGCGAAACAGTTCTTTCTGGTATTTATTATGGCAGTCAGCATTTCCTCATTTTAATTAGGTGTTCATCCTGAACCACACAGTACTAGGCTTTGGTATCTGAAATAATAAGGATAATAATAAAGAAGAAATGGACCTTGTCCTCAACGTTTATATCCTATAAACAATAGACACACAAAAACAGCCTAAGAATATAAAGTAGCAGGAAGTGCAAATAAATAAAAGTGATTACAAACCGGGAGAAACGAGTCAGAAACTACCAGGCATGGCCGGCCGGCCATAGTAGGGAATGCAGATTTGGTTTAGGCTTTGTAGAAGTACGTTGGGGATAGAATTTTGGAAAAAGCAATAGAGAAAGGGAAGGAGCAGTAGTGAAAGTGCAGAGTTAGCAAATTCTATACCAAGGCAAGCTCTCATTAAAAGTGAACAAAATGTAAGGACCAGACAGTGGTGCCGTGGTGAGAGGTAATGCCTTGCAAAGCTGACCCACATCAGGTTCTGGGTTTGAAGCCAGGTACCTCCCTGAGTATACCAGGCATGTGTCTACCTATGGTCAGAAATATATGACAAATATATATAATTGGGAACCAGCAGTTAGCATAATGGCTATGTCGCTGAACTCCCACGTAGTCAACCGCGGTTCGCGTCCCGGACCCGGTGGCTTAAAACTCC